GGTGCAGTGGCTCATGCCTGTAATCCCAGCACTTTGGGAGGCCGAGGTAGGCAGATCACCTGAAGTCAAGACCAGCCTGGCTGATATGGTGAAACCTCATCTCTACTAAAAATACAAAAAGTAGCTGGGCATGGTGGCGAGTGCCTATAATTCCAGCTACTCGGGAGGCTGAGGCAGGAGAATCGTTTGAACTCGGGAGGTGGAGGCTGCAGTGAGCCAAGATTGTGCCACTGCACTCCAGCCTGGATGACAGAGCGAGACTCCAACTCAAAAAAAAAAAAAAAATACAGATGGAGTCTTGCTATATTTCCCAAGCTGGTCATAAACTTCTGGCCTCAAGTGATCCTCCCACCTCAACCTCCCAAAGTGCTAGGATTATAGGCATGAGCCACTGCACCCAGCTAGCTTTGTACTTTTTAAAACCCTTTCTTGTCTGCCATTCCTTGTGGTTTTCATGATGTTCCCACAGTACTGCAGAGCTTGGACCAGACAGAACCCAGTTTCCTGCACTGATGGCTGCAGAGCCAGCTTTGCTTTGGATGATGATGGAGAGCTTATGTTCTCATCCCGGTGTAGCCCAGGTGAGAAACTCTCTCCCCATGGCTTAGTCTGTGCCCCTCACCTCCATCTGTACTTCTGTGTTGCTGCTTCACCACCTCTCGTGTGCAGTTGAAACTTCTGGGCTGAATGGAAACCCATAACTTAGCCAGTTATGGCTACACTGGCCATGGTGCTAGCATGAGTCTATACTTCTACTGTGGCACTAAGTGTAGGCCAGAGAAATCATTCCCACTGTACTGTAAACTTGAGTTTCCCTATCAATAGCAAGTGTGTCCTAAGAAATTTGGTAGTAGGCGGAGTGCAGTGGCTCACACCTGTAATCCCAGCACTTTGGGATGTCAAGGCTGGTGGATCACAAGGTCAGGAGATCAAGGCCATCCTGGCCAACTTGGTGAAACCCCATCGCTACTAAAAATACAAAAATTAGCCAGGCATGGTGGCATGCATCTACAGGCCCAGCTACTCAGGAGGCCAAGCCAAAAGAACCTCTTAAAACTCTTTGGCAGCTTTAAAATTGACTACAGGCTAAGCTGTCCTGCTGATCCTAGAAGAACTGAGACTGGTGTTACTAGGCTTGTCCACCTTTGCAGTAAATACATATGTCGGCTATTACTCCAATTGCATCTAAAATTTTCTTCCTTAGTGGGTATGAATGCATTCTTATGTTTTCTTGGAATGAAGAAGTCAAGGCTTAAAATCCTAGTTTTACCACCACTTGCTTACCTTGGACAAGCTGCTTGGTCTCTGCAAAACCTCAATTTCTTCAATGTAAACTCAGAATTTTATTTTTATTTTTATTTTTTGAGAGAGAGTCTTGCTCTGTCGCCAGGCTAGAGGGCAGTAATACGATCTTCGCTCACTGCAAACTCTGCCTCCTGAGTTCAAGCGATTCTTGAGCCTCAGCACCACACCCCACCCTCCCGAGTAGCTGGGATACAGTCACACGCCACCACGCCTGGCTAATTTTTGTATTTTTAATAGAGATGGGGTTTTACCGTGCTGGCCAGGCTGGTCTGGAACTCCTGACTTCAGGTGATCCGCTCATCTCAGCCTCCCAGGGTGCTGGGATTACAAGCATGAGCTACCACACCCAGCCACAAATTTTACTTTTTTTTTGAGATGGAGTTTCACTCTTGTACTCCATGTAGGTCAGGCTGGTCTCAAACTCCCGACCTCAGTGGATCCACCCACCTCGGCCTCCCAAAGTGCTAGGATTACAGGCGTGAGCCACTGTGCCTGGCTTACTTTCAAAGTTAAAATGATATTCTGTGAAAATGCTTGGTAAAAGGTGAGGTGAAGTTCTGTATAAATGAGAATCACTGGGGAGGCTCTGGGGGACCTGAGTTTTTAGGTGGCAGGACAAAGGTGGGGCCTTGAGGGTGTTAAGGAGGACACAGCTTAGAAAAATCTCCCTCCTCTATCTGAGCACTGATAATTTAGTTATTCAGTCTCATGAAATATCGAAAAGATATGAAAAGGCATGTTTGTTCCTCAGTAGGTTTAACAGTGAGCACTGGAAGTTCTGGCCTCCTTGGAGAGTGGCCCTGGAGAAGGACTAGAAGTGGGAGGGTGGCCACAGGAAAAATTACGGAAACTCCCTGGTATGAATGGGACCAAGACCTCAGGCTTTCCATTCAGGAAGGTGTCCCCTTACCAGATTGATGCCATTTACTTCTATATGTTGGAGAAGGACGCTGGCCACATGTTCTGTGTCCCATTGCACGCCTGGGTCATCTGGAAAATCCCTACAAGGGAGAAGCATAACTTGAACACCTTTTCTTTTTTTTTTTTTTTGAGACGGAGTTTTGCTCTTGTTGCCCAGGCTGGAGTGCAATGGCGCGATCTCGGCTCACCGCAACCTCCGCCTCCTGGGTTCAGGCAATTCTCCTGCCTCAGCCTCCTGAGTAGCTGGGATTACAGGCACGCGCCACCATGCCCAGCTAATTTTTTGTATTTTTAGTAGAGACGGGGTTTCACCATGTTGACCAGGATGGTCTCGATCTCTTGACCTCGTGATCCACCCGCCTCGGCCTCCCAAAGTGCTGGGATTACAGGCGTGAGCCACCGCGCCCGGCCCTTGAACACCTTTTCTAATCAAGAACAACCTTCTCCCTAAGCTCCAGTAGATGCATGTCCAGTTTTATGATACTTAGGGGGGCAATGGGTCCCTGCCTTTAAGCTTCCTCAGATTTCAGTTAAGGTAAGATTTACAAACATGAAACAACTAGAAGTTAATGCACAATTCCACATGAGACACTTTTGGGGCTTTATGCTTGTTGCTGAGGGGAAGAAACAACATCAACAAGACAAGGCTATGTCCACAAGTTGGGGAGACAAATGTGTTAAAAATGAACTTGAGGCCAGGCACGATGGCTCACGCCTGTAATCCCAGCATTTTGGGAGGCTGAGGTGGGTGGATCACTTGAGGCCAGGAGTTCGAGACCAGCTTGGCCAACATGGTGAAACCCCGTCTCTTAAAAAAAAAAAATGATGGACTGGAACTAGTATTAGAAATATCACTTTAATAAAAAATACAAAGATATGTTACTTCACCAACCTCATAAACATCTTTTGACAGAGCTTTTTTTTTTTTTTGAGACGGAGTCTCACTCTGTCACCCAGGCTGGAGTGCAGTGGTGCAATCTTGGCTCACTACAACCTCCACCTTTTGGGTTCAAGTGATTCTCCTGTCTCAGCCTCCAGAGTAGCTGGGATTACAGGCACCTGCTACCATGCCTGCCTAATTTTTTGTATTTTTAGTAGAGACGGGGTTTTGCCATGTTGGCCATGCTGGTCTCGAACTCCTGACCTCAGGTGATCTACCCGCCTCGGCCTCCTAAAGTGCTGGGGTTACTGCTCTGTCACCTAGGCTAGAGTGCAGTGGGGTGATCTTGGGTCACTGTAACCTCTGACTCCCAGGTTCAAGCAATTCTCCCACCTCAGCTTCCTGAGTAGCTGGGATTATAGGCATGCACCACCATGCCCAGCTAACTTTTGTATATATATTTTTTCTCCTGAGATGGAGTCTCATTCTGTGCTCCAGGCTGGAATGCAGTGGCAAGATCTCAGCTCACTGCAACCTCCGCCTCCTGGGTTCAAACGATTCTCCTGCTCAGCCTCCTGAGTAGCTAGGATTACAGGCATGTACCACCATGCCTGGCTAATTTTTATATTTTTAGAAGAGGCAGGGTTTCACCATGTTGGCCAGGCCGGTCTTGAACTCCTGACCTCAGGTGATCCACCAGCCTCCCTTCCAAAATGCTGGGATTATAGGCATGATCCACCGTGCCTGGCCTTTTACAGAGCCTTTACCTATGAAATTACGTAGCTTGTTTGCAAGGCTGTTATAGTTAGATTTGAATGTGGGTTTTGCCTGCAAAGCCAAAATGCTTCAGCACTAGGGAGCTGGCTACATTCCCCTTCCATCAGGACTGAGGCTTGCTGCATGTCTGGTACAGAGTCTTCAACAGGATAATCTGCAATTTATCTGTGTCTCCACCTGGCCACACCACAGGCCTATCTTCTCCCACCTGCTGAAATCCTTCCTGTCTCTTTTTTGTGCTTCGATCTATGGTGTCACCTGATATAAGACCAAGGGCTCACTTTGGCCATCTTTTTAAAAAATATTATTCATAGTCTTATAAAATGATACCTATATCTCTCTTTGGGTTAGGTCCTACTGCAACACCCATAATACTACTGAGAGGACATGGGCGCTGCTCCCTACCAGGCAAGCTGTTATCACCTCCCTATGGACAAAGGTCATTAACTGGCCTCCCTTAGGACTTTGGGCAAAGGAGAGTCACTGGAGGTTTTTCAGCAGAAAAATGACATGAGCCTCAGCAATAAATAATGTTATTATTTCCTTTGCTTCAGTTGGTTCATCTACCAACCGTTTAGGGCAGTGGTCCCTAACCTTTTTGGCACCAGGGACCAGTTTCATGGAAGATAGTTTTTCCACAGACAGGGGTGGGGGGCATTAGATTCTCACAGGAGCTTGCAACCTAGATCCCTCCCATGCAGAGTTCACAATAGGGTTTGCACTCCTATGAGAATCTAATTCCGCCGCTGATCTGAGAGGCATAGCTTGGGCAGTAATGCTTGCTTGCCCGCCACTCACCTCCTGCTGCGCTCCTTGGCTCCTAACAGGCCAGGGACCCATACTGGTCTGCAGCCCATGTAGTTGGGGACCTCTGCCTTGGGGTATTTTCTGCAGAGGGCAGCTTCTTTGTGTGTGTGTGTGTGTGTGTGTGTGTCATGGTTTCACTCTTGTTGCCCAGGATGCGCAATCTTGGCTCACCACAACCTCCACTTCCCGGGTTCAAGTGATTCTCCTGCCTCAGCCCTCCAAGTAGCTGGGATTACAGGCATACGACACCATGCCCAGCTAATTTTGTATTTTTAATAAAGATGGGGTTTCTCCATGTTGGTCAGGCTGGTCTCAAACTCCTGACCTCTGGTGATCCACCCACTTCAGCCTTCCAAAGTGCTGGGATTACTGGCATTAGCCGCCATGCCCAGCCCAGATGGCAGCTTTGTACTTTCCAAAGCCCTATCCCGTCAGTCACTCCATGTGGTTCTCATTGCGCTCCTGTAGTAAGCAGGACAGACAGCTTAGCAGGTGGGGGACAGGACTGGGAGAAAGAGATAAAGTGGGACCAGGACAAAGTCTAGTTTTGTTTTTTGGAAATGGAGCTGGATATAGTGTGTAAAACATAACCAGCTGAGTTCAAGCAGCTGAAGGAGAAATAGATACAGGGAACAGAGAAAATGCCTTGGAGTGACAACAGCTACATACATAATCCTGGCTGAGAGGTCCACATAAATGTATCAAGGCATCATTTTGGAGAGGGAATACACCACACCAATAATATGTGGAACTTAAGCATATGAGAAACAGGATAGGAGGATAGTTGGCTAAGCCTACTAAATCTCTGTAGTTCTGAGGTTCTGACAGGCTGAAAGATAAACTTCAAAGAGGGGTAAACTCATGGCTGCCTTCCATTTATCTTCAGAGAACTAGGATCTGCTCTTCCGAGGAACGATGTTCGTACAAACAGGTGTTGCTCCATGCCTTTCTTTCCATGGCTTCACTCAGTGATTGTGGGTCAGGCCAATCATCTAGGGAGGGACTTTGGACTGTAAATATCTGCTCTGTGATGTGACACATCTGATAAAGCATCATTGCTTTTATGATCAAGTCCAAACTCCTCTTGGTCAGGCATTCAAGTTTTCCCCAATCTATCTCCAATTTTGATTCACTTCATTTATTTGAGAGAGCTAATGAGATAACACAGGTCAGAAAGCATTTAAGAACTGTAAAAACAAAAATGCCTAAGCATCAGAATCATGGCTGTTACTGCTACATTAGCCTAATTTAAGTCTCCCTTGAAAGAAAGAGAGAAAGAAAGAAAG